TTAATGTTAAGCAGCGTGTAAATTCTTCTTGCCCTGATGTCTAACCTATCTTTCCTCTTTGCTTCACTGCATAGCCCATTCCCAGTAAGCTTTGGGAAATCGCTGTCTTTGAATCCTATTATTAGGTTTTTCCCCATTCTTTTCTCCCTGGACTGTTACCCCGGTTCTTTCCGCTTTCCTTCTTAAAATCTTGATTTTTAGGCATCTGGCTTTTTCATTTCCACAGGAAACTGTGTTTGCGAGATGCCTTTGGTTTGAGGTAGACGGTGACCCAAGTGTTTTACACGCAGCCGCTGCCCAGAGGGTTGATCCCGATCTCTTATTTTGCCCCTGCTTGTTGCTAAGTGTAGTGGTTCCCCTTAGCCTTATTCCAGTCTGTTTGTTTCCGACCGTTTTCAATGCAAGACTGCTTTTTAAATTAAACTCTTAAATGCCCCTATGTGCTAGCTATTATCTACAAAGTTATAAGCATATATTATTGTTTGCTCCTGATGGTCACCGAGGAAACTCCGCTCTATACTTTTTGTTTTGGCAGTGAATTACTAACAGTAATTATTTGAGTATCATTTTTTTTTTCCCCTTAGTCAGCTTTGCCCCTTTTCTTACGGTTGGTTCACAGAGATCATATTTCCCTACTAACGCAAGGGAATTTTCAGGAGTTAATATATTAATTTTAAGACACTTATTATTTTTCCTCTTGGGAATAACAAGTGATAATAAAAGGAAAATATGTTGCTTAAATATTATTTTATTAGGGCAAAGTAATGTGTTGGCCTCTACCTACTGTCTCATCTTCCAATTATGCAATAGCATGTGCCAGTATGTTTGCAGAAGTTGAGGTCATGTTATTTTATCCTAATTTCCTGCTTTCTCCCTTTTTCCCTTTTAAAAATAGGCAGCGTTCGCTAGTCTAGCCTCAGCAGCCCTGGGTTAATTCAGCCCTCGCTAGTCTGAAAAGGTCTCATTTATCTGAGTTCTCCTTACATCCTTCCCCAGCTGTGGGAGTTCCTATCTCCTTTGTGTCTTAGTTGTGCTAACGATCTCATCGCAACCAATTCTTTTATTGATGACTGAAATAAAAAGGCGCTAAATGTTTTGTCCTCTGGTTTTAGTGTTTCCTCCCCTCTCGGTAGCTGAAACTCCTGGGTTTTCCCCTTGCTGTTGCAGGACGCTGCTTTCCTGGTACCGTGGCCTTCCCAGGTAGAGCTCATTTTGCCATTTGGCGTTTCTGCTTTCAGTCCTTCACGTGGCTGCTCTGCTTCCCCGTGGTTCCTGTTCCCATTGTGATTCCTTGACTTTCCAGTGAAAGTCATGATTTAGCCGCGTTTGTCTCTTACTCCACTTCTTTCTGGCACATCTGGTCTTAATCTGTTTCTGGAAAAAAAAATTGCCAGCACTCCTGAGCTCCCCCCCCCTCGCCCATTTACTCTTGCTTCACATGGGAACTTATTTATCCCCTTTTGGAACTCAGCGAAGTCTGGTTCCTTGAAGGTCACCCTTTCTCTGCTATGCCTCCTCTTCGTGCTCTGAGGAGCGGCAGGCTCTGTGCTGCCGGCCGCTTTTCTTTCTCCCATCTCCAGCCCTGTAGAAGAGACTCCTGTTACTGTGTTTTCCACCTGTTTATAAAGCTGTTGCCATCGCGTTCCCAAAGAATTGCCTGACATGATTTGCCTGCTGGGGCCTTTCCCAAGAAGTGTCTTGGCCCGCTAAGGTCCTGCATTTCTAGGAAGCCGTAGGCTTATTATTGTTTATTCGTGTCTTCTTCATGACTCCTCACAATCTTTTCCACTACTGATATTAACAAGAGACTTTTTAATTGTGTCCTATTTCCTAGAAACAACTGGTTCATCTTCATGGTATGTTTTTTTGGAGGCTTTTAGGGCCGTGTTTCTGCTTATGTACTTTGCTATGTTTCTGTAATTCCTAAGAAGTCTCTGTTTGTGAATGCAGTCAAAATACGAGAGCATAAAGCAGTCTAGTACCTAAACTGTTTACGCTTGAGGGAAAATATATTCCTAACTAATAATTTGCTTGGTTTTACTTACCAAAGTCTTTGTTAAGTTATCCTAAAACTTGCAGCTTGTGGGCTGTAACCTAGTCCTGAGCCTGTCACTTCCCAGCTTCTCTAGGATGAAAAAGGTGGAGGTTCAGGCTGCCTTAGCCAAAATAATGGAAAATGGAGAAACCCCTGCTTGATTAAAACTCTTGATTAATTAATAGCCAAGGAAACACTAAACTACTGCAGCAGAAATTTCTGCTTGATGTAATTCTTCGTAATTCCAATGTGAGGAGGGAAAGCACCAGGTAGCCTGATCAGTGTCACTTAAGTGGATTGAAGGTAATTATGGCTGGATACCACTCATGGGCATAACTTTTATATCCTGCAGCGTCAACAGCTTCCCGGTACTCTCATAAATAAGCTCTTGTCTGTAGAGTTCAGTTTCAGCGTTGCGAAGTCTCACTGATGTTTGAGTTTCTGTTTCCATGTGTTGACGTGTTCTGCAACTAAAAAGGATTCTAAAGCACAATAACTTCACTCATCTTTTCCAGCATCTCCTTCAAATGCTGTTGTCTACCCCATATTCAGTGCACCCCCCACCAGCAAGAAAAGGTAGGCTAATCTTTGCTGTCTCTCCAAGAATGATCAGAAGTGTCATATCTGCAGAATCATTATTATTTTTAAAAAAATTGTACTAATTCTAAAAACAATAGCTTAGCTTTCTCCCAGTCCTTGTGAGGTTTGGGAGTCTGGGGTTTTTATTGGGTTGGCTTTTTTTTTTTTTCCTTTAAAGGGAAGATGAAAGATGAAAGCTGTGTTGGTTTAGGGGGATACTAGCCCGTGAATAAGGAAATACACATTTGCTTACTGTCTGTAGTACATTTTTACTTGTGAATTTGTACGTATTATTGAGCTGATTGTTTTTTTTAACAAGTTTTCTCTTAGCTGTTGCTAATGATAAAATCATTAGAACAAGGGGGGCTGTTTCAGGATATATTCATCACCGAGAACGGCACAGCCTTGGTGGGGTTTGAGCCGTGTAGAGGGGGTTTTATTTATGTATACTACTTTTGTCTGTCCTCTGTCTCCGTCCCTGGAGTGTCCCTAACCAGCAGTAACTCGCAGTCTTTATGTACTGGCTGTTCATCATGGACCTGCACCTCCCATCGGCCAGAGACCCTCAACAGCGCTAGCTACAAATTCGAGTTGGTACCAAAGTTGTCAAAACGAGTTGTCTTTACTCAGTTTGGCAGGTGTGGTGGCAGAGTATAACGCTGCTGGCCGTACAGCGAGCCGGGAGGCATCGCTGTCCCTCACTAGAATCTAATCAACGGCGTGGCTTTCCGTATATGCCTTCTGCACGGCAGCGATGCCTCTGGCGTGGGCATTCTTGCCATGTTTGAAGCACTTCTGTGTTGCGAGCAACCTTTTGAGTTAAGTTTTTTCGTGTACATCAGCTGCAGCGTGTGAAAATTCGACTCTGCGTTTAACTGGGCCAGTTAAACCGCGGGTCCCTCGTTGAGTAACGCTGGAAAGGCTGACGGGGCAGGTCAGCAACTCTGCTCAGGCCAGTCTGTGGCTCTTGCGGGAGCTGGCAGCTTCTCTGTCTCTGTCACACTCGGCCTCCTTCACCAGTTAAGCCCACAGCATTAATTTTTAAACGGTTGAAATGACTCACTCTTTGGGAAGGCGCTGGCTTATTAAAGTTGTACGGAGCTAAAGATTTCGGAAGGCTTGCTTACCTGCCTTGTGCTGGGGTTGTAGAATCCCCGTGTTCTTTAAATGTCAAACCCGTCTCTCTCTGCCATCGGGTTCGTTGCTTTTCCGTAGTAACTCTTCCTGTGATACGCTCTTGTAACCGTCCCAGTGCTGTGGCTAACGCTGACCAACGTTAGCGCTCTGGGAAGTATCTGTGTGCTATACAGAAATCACTTAAAATGCAAAGATCCGTAACTGCACTGGTCGGGTGCATTTTGCGTTGCCTTTTTTTTTTTTTTAACCTGAGAAATTTTAGTACAGCAGCACTAGGGAGCAGCACGCTCGGAAGTTCTGCCTTTTGATGCAGGTGCCGCAGACAGGACAAAAGTTGTAATAAAAAGGGGTGAAAAAGAATTAACAGAAGCGCCTGCTTCTCTTCCACTTTCCCGGGCTCACCTGAGCGGGTATTTCCTAAGTGTGCTGGGCGATGCTTGGTATTTAGCGCGTTGGAAATGAAGCACAAGCACGTGAGGTTTGCTTTTTGATTCTGTAAAAAGCATGGTACTGTTGAATTACTTGCAGGCACTGGGACTGTTTACTCGTAAGGTGTAGTTGTGCGACCTGGTGTCTGTGCTTCTGATTAGCTTGTTTCTTCAATTAATTTGCTGCCGTACTTGTAGGCCTCTAGTGGGAAAAGACTTGTTTTCCCACGCAAGAACCAGAGTTACTAATCCCTCTCCCATATTGAATCAACTTCTTGATACATTTTTTTTTTAACAATAAAAGCATTCTGAGCTGAGTTTGTTGTGACCATAAAAAACCCACTTAAAGTTGCTCCTAAAAGAGCCAAAATAAACCTTCCAAGACTTGTCGCGCTACTGTCGTCCTCTGCCGCAGAAGTGTTGAAAGAGAAATCTGATTGCAATATTTGCTTTGCTTCCTCATGTGGCTTTTCAAATACCTTCCGCGGTGCAAGTGGGACCCTGGAATATGTGGAAATCCTGGTGGTTGTGATTAGCTGAAAATCAGTCTTGGATTTGCAGTTGTCTCTTGGGAAGCTGATCAGCACAAGCTTTTCCTACATGAAGTCTCTGCTTTGGAAATTCTTCTTAGTATCCAAATCTATAAAATTGTTTGGTGTATCTCTAAATTAATTCCACGTTAAGGTTCACTGCACAATAGTTACAATTTCCCACTTTAAGATTGCTTAAGAAATGCCACCTTACATACGGCAGCCTAAAGGTAGGCTGGAAAAACACTGCAATTATTAACACCCCTAACAATGTGCTTCCCTGTAGCTGAAGCCCATGTTGTAAACTTAAAAACTCACGTAAAGCCTCCATGTCTGGATCTGAATATGAAAAATTCCTCTTGGCCTTGCTTCATTCTGCTCCCCTCTTTGGGAAGCCGTCCCTGCTAGACGGCAGGGGAGAGCTTAGCCCCAGCACCGAGGGTTTTTCCTGAGGAGCTGCCGATCCCCTGGTGTAAAGGTGGCGTCGGCGTGAGGGGCCGGGACTTGTGGTGGTGAAGCAGCAACTGAGCGGGGAAGCGGTCTTGGGACCCCGGGGAAGCGGTCTTGGGACCCCGGGGTAGACGGAGTGCGGGCTTGAGACCAAGCTGTGGTGGGTCTCGGCCAAAACCTTGTCACAAGTTCTTGTACACCTTGATCAAAACCCAGATGAAGTGCTTTGTAGGTTACTGGAGTTCAGTTTTTCACTTTCTTCCTTTTTTTTTCCGCCCCCCCTTGAGGGGAGAGTGGTGCTGATGTGGTGTGCGCTTTATAGTCAGCGTTGCTCACAAAACGGGAACACTTGGAGCTCTGTAAGATGACTTCGGATGATGCTGCCTCCCCTGCTGAGTCTGGCAGGGTAGGAGTTTTATCCTTGCCTCCTGTCACGCTGTCCAGAAGCCTGGCACGCATCCCTGAGCTGCTCGGACCAAGCTGTGGTACTGGGGGTTGCAGTGTGGTCACGCAGCAGGGCGCGTGCTGACGGTCCCAGGTATTCATAGCCGCATCTCCCTGTGTTCATCTCCCCGAGCCCTTCGACCCGCTGGGGACTTCGCAAACCCACAGGGCTCCTCAACCCTTCCAAGGGTAGACATGTTTTAAGCGTGTAATTTTATGCACGAGTTAAACAAGTTAGGAGCATGTCTGTGGGACTGTTTGGGCGAGACTTTGGGGTTTTTAGGTCCCAGTTAGACTCGGGTGCAAGATTGCCAGAGCTGAGCAGCTTGCTGCCGCAAAACTCTGAGCCTGCGCAAGAGCGTTCTGGATGTCTCGATGCACGTAAGCAGCGGTTTGAGGACGGAGCTGCCGGACTTGGGCACCTATTTCTTCACCCGCAGCTTCCGTGCTTCACGGACCTGGCCCTCTGCTTCTCAGTTGGTTGTGTATCCCTTTGGCTGTTCAAGGAGCTGCTGAATTTCCAATGTCCTGGAAATAGGATGGCTGTGGAAGTGGGAGAGGTGCTTAATCAGGAGTTATTTAACTTCTGATGCGATTGTGGCTCTTCCTAGAGCCTCTCACCTTCCCTCCCTCCCCCCGAGGAGCTGGCACCACAACTGTCACAAGCTTTGCTGTACCTGGCTTAGTTTGGGGTGTTCTGTAGTAAGAGTCACTACCCTGCCCTTGTACCCGACACGTGACGTTAACTTTCGTCTGCAGTGACTGATTTTCATCTCTCTGAAATGATTTTCAGGACACAGGCTGCGCTGGATGAACTGACTTCTCCGTTTGGGTCCAGCCCACCTGCAAAAACACCTCACACCTCGCAGAAGGCGAAAAAGCTCTGCAAGTGCTCCAGAGATCAGATGATCATTGTAAGGTTCCCCTCGGGGCGCGCTGGGTCCTCGGGGTGGCTTGGTGGTGAGGAAACAAGAAATATGTCTTGAGGCTAACTGATCAACCTCCCCAAAAATACAAATCAAACCCTAAAGGCAAAAAATCAAACCCTAAAGGCAAAACGTCAAACCCTAAAGGTAAAAATCAAACTCTAAAAGGCAAAATCACCCCGGGGAGGAGGGAAGGCACAGGGCAGGGCTCTGCCCGCCGGCCCCGCTCACAGCCTGGAGATGCGAGCATAATGTCCTAATTCGATAATTATCCTAATTTCCTTACGTGTAAACCTCAAACCAACCACGCTGTGATGACAGTAACAGGGCAGTGAGTAACATACTTAGCACTCGACTAGGACAGGGTAGTAGCTAGGAAATAGGTTGTTATGGTTTCCCTGGGACTAGCGCTTTATTACGCTCTAGAATTCAAAAGAGATTTATGGAACATAATATTTAAAAAAAAAAAAAAAAAAAGCCCAAAAGGAAACTCGGCCAAGCCTGTATGGATGCTATAGGGGGGAAGG